ACTTAACTAATGTCTATTTCATGTTTTTATTTCACTTTTGGCAGTGATGAGGCCTGAGTGGTGTTACAATATTAATATTACAAACATCTTTAAAGGTTCTTTTAGCAACCAAGATGCTATAGCAATTTCATTAATTGTTAAATAGTAAAATCTTTGAAGGTCTGCATTAGAAAATCCTTTTATAACTTTTTAAACTTTCAATTATTTTAATAATAATTTCAATTATTTTAATAATACAGTTGATGGAAATAGTTTTGCAAAGGACTTTGGTCTTAGAAACTTAAAATTAAAAATTCTGACAAAATTATTTAAAGCTCTAAAACAGGTTACCACAAAGAAAGTTGTGGAAATGTATTTGGCTTAAACCTATTTGAAAAAAATTTTTTCATATAAAACTACTAAAATGAAGTGGGATTGCTTGGCCAGAGTTTATAATTCTATGGAGTCTTGAACTGAAATGATAATCTGGGCAGTAATACAACACAGAAATTCTTTAGAAATCACCAAGGCTATTGCAGGGAAAAGGCTTGAGGTCTTTCTTGGAAAAATCAAGTTCTTTAGTTTTAAGGTTACAACACTTAAGCTGCCTATAGATTCTTCTCCTTTTTAGTGTCCTGACCTTCTTGCCACAAAAGAATTGATTTCCTAAAATCAACTGATACACAATGAGTTTAAATTCAGCAGGATTTGGTAGTTTGGTCTGGTTGGCAGCTCCTTGAAAGACAAAGGCTTGGGAGAGGCACACTTCTATAGCATACGTAGACTTTTGACCTAATCGTTTAAACCCATGAGTGGCTGGGGAAGCAGACTCTTTACCCTAACTGTGGTCTTCTGAAGTGGTCTAGGGGAAGATTTTACTGAAAACCAGCATCCTAGGGGCCAATAAGGCTGAACCCTACGTTTGATATATCTTCTATATTGGCTCAACTTTCTACCTTTTAATCTCATTCATAGGTGGACATCCTTTCTAGATTCCCAGCTTCCATCTCCCTCCTAACCTCTTCCCATATCCCTGCTCCCTTTTAAAATTTCCCTTTCTATATTCACGCCACCATTTCTGTTAAAAAAAAGAGGGGAGGAGGGTGTGACAGTTCCCTCATAAAGATTCTTTGGTATTGTCAAATGACAAAAATAATACAACTTAGTAATGAGTTTGATGTCCTTTATTCAAGGGAAAACAATCCATGGATAGGGGTGGGTACAGTGCCTCATGAGCAGTGGAGCACTGTTCCCGAGGGATTTGAGGCAAGAGTGAGGTGCATAGAACCTTAGAAGAGGCAACGTGGAAATGGCATGATTGGCTAGGAGGTCAGGGATTTCCTTCTGAGGCTAGCAGGTCCTATTTTCTAGGTAAGGTAAGCTAGCTAAAGCTGAGTTAGAGGATGGTGATTGGGTGTATGTTAGGATTCCTTGACAGGTGTTTCCCATAAGTGCAGGCTCACTTAGGTTTAGATTTGTGACATGGGCCAGGCCACTGGGACAGCCTCCATTTTGTGGGTCCTGATATACGAATTAACTTTATCAGTATCCATAGGAACCATTTTAAACCAGTGCTGTCTTCCTTGGACATCAGATGATAAACTCTACAGGGTGAGAGAAAGTGTCAAAGACGTAACTGAATCATTCAGGAGTTGGCACTTGGTGTTGAAGTAAGGGAAGTGGTCCTATGTGCTGGAAGTCATCATCATTTTTCAGGAAAGATAGAATCCATCACTTTCCTTTGTGTTTTGCATAACAGAAGGCAGTTGTTAATTATCCTTTCTAATCCTTTTCCTCTGCTGTGTTCTGATTCTGAGGAGGGTTTGGGAAGATGTAGGGAAAGCAGCTGCTCATATGATAGATACAGTTTCGGGGATGACAAGAAAATATCTATCCTTCACCATCACCTCCAACTCCATCTCCAAATACCTCCTCTCTCCATCCTGCTCAGTAACACCTAAAATTTCTCAATTAGAGGTTCATGCCTTTGGCTTAAGAAGTCTACTTTGTTAAAAAGCAAAAATCTCTGAAAGAGTTAACCTCACTAAGTCTTGCATTAATCACTACATTAACATCAGGTCCTTTCCTGAGAGAGAGAGAGAGAGAGAGAGAAAGGAGCATGGAGCCAAGAACATGGGAGAAGGAGTGGGAAGCTGGAAGGGGCAGAGTAATTTGACTTATTTTACAATTTTACTGAGTGCAGTTTTACTTGCCAGGCTGAAGCCTGAGAGATTCTCCCCTTCCCCAATCCCATCTTTTATTTATATGATAGTTTAATCTTTCAATAAGAGAAAAAAAATCATTTCTTATGAAATAGGTATCTCAGTATAAGGGGGAAAAGCAATACTCAAAGTAAAAAAAGAGAGAACCTAAAATAATAAAGACATAGTTGGGCCAGTAATATAAATAATCAACAATACATTTTAATGAAAATAAAGCCAAAATGATATTCCATTATATTGAACTTTTATTTCAACATATTATAACAAAATTAAATGTCCAGAAATTTTTGTTTCGTGTATTTAAAAAATTCCATAAAAACATAAATTTATCTCTGAGGACAGCCTTGTAAAAAAATAATGGAGATATCTGGAATAAATAGACTTGGTAATATAATCAATATTAAATACTTCTTCAATCCTTCCCAAACTGCTGAGGTAGTTCAGTAAAGAGCAGTCCTCTGTCTCGGAACGGATGCTTCTTTCTGTGAATTTTAACACAATAAGGCATAAATAAAATAAGCATTGTTTCATTGCTACTCCCTGTTAGTGGTATTATTCAGATAATAAAAATCTGCCTGGAGGGAAAGGGACTGTAGTGTAAATATGAGTAAAGAGAGAGGATTCATTCATCCTCTTATATGTCACTGGATATTTAAACTGCATTGTAAACCTATAGGTCTGTTTTCTGCTATGAGACAGGGATAGTTCATGAGATCAAACCAAGGACTCAAAAAATATTCCTCAAGAATAACCACCACTTTTTGCTCTAACTCCACTCTCTACAGTGTAGGATGTGCATTCTATCCTATTAAAAAATAAAATAAGGTACATTAACTTTTAGGTAAGATGTGTTCCAACTTTGTAATTATTTGAGGCTCAATAACACTTTAAAACATTTGTTTGCGTACATGAGTTTGGGGCATGAGTTCAGCAACTGAGATTAACTGTAGAGTAATTCTGCATTTATTCACAGTGGAGGGAACGAGCAGACTGGAGAGGAGCAGAGCAGACCAGCCAAGGATATGGGCTTTGGAGGCAGGCTACTCAAGTTGGCCTTTACTAGTTGTGTGACCTTGGGCAAGTCCCTTTCAGGTTTTGTTCCTCAGCTTCCCCATCTGCAAAATGGAGATAATAATACACGGAGTGATTATGAGGATTAAAAGAGTTAATCACATAATGTACTTAGAGTCTGGCTCATTGTAGGCACTCAATAAGTGTTAGTCATTTTTATTGGATGATCCACAAAATGGAGAGTTCAGAAGTGGAGAGTGGAGTTGGTTGTATGCACTGAGACCAAGGAGAGAGCAGTGAGGGACACATGTAACTCAAATGTGCTCGCTGCACTGAAGTTTAGCATCCAGTGGCCACCCTCAAGGTGTACTCTTGGCTCTGCCCAAGGGTGAAGATTTAGTCCATCAGGCAGCTGGGGCCTGCATTTTAGCTCAAAACTCCTGACTGCTAGTCCCAAATATGAACACCTCTCTTGGGCAGGGATCCTCTGGAGGCCACACTTGGCACGTTGTTGCATCCCCCAAAACATATCCAACTTACCATGAATCATGGAGAAATTTCTTCCTAAAGATGTCTTGGCAGAGAGATGGGGGTGAAAGGTGAGGGAATAGGGTGGTAAGGATTCACATGGCTCATTTGACAGCAAAAACTTAATGCAATCCACCACTGGATATGTCTATTCTTCATTGCTGGTTGCCTCATTTCTTTCTCTTTTCCCACACCACCTCCAAGAGGCCTCTTCATTGCCCTAATAGTTCATATTCTGGCTCTCCACTTATGTTCCTCAACCAAACAAGAGCCTAGGAATTAGACTGATAGTGACCATTTCTAATTAATCTAGCACGCCTCTTGCAGCTTATCAAAGTATTTGCCTAATACAAATTAACCTCTTTCTCAGAAAATTTCTGCTTGTAAGAAAATTTTCTCCATCTATGTTTAAAGAAACAGTGGAACTCATAAATAATAGCTCCCATCCTAGAGCCATTTGAGGATCTGACAGTAGCTGTAGGAGAGAGAATCAGGAAAATGAAAAAGTGGAAGTAAGGAGGGGAAACTTCAAATATATTAGGATAGAATTAGCATTACATCACTTCAGAAATTTTTTCTTGCTTGAAAGTTTTTAAGGGAAAGGGAAAGGAAAGAGAAAGGCCATAAGGGATTTTATTTAAAAAAATCATTAATATCAAACTATAAGAACTTGTTGTACCTTTATTCTTAAGATTGTTGACAAGTAGACCTGGGCCTTGACAAAAGAACCAACAACACAAACATTGCAACATTAACATTTATTTAGAATCTCTTCTGAAGCTGTCCTAGACAGCTTTATCAAGACTGGAACTTCATGGATGGTCTGGCATGCCTCAAAAACTCAGTAGATTTTCAATATTTCTGCTAATTTAAACCAAGAGCTTCTCTCCCTTATACATTATAATTCGTTAAAGCTTTTGACAACAAAAAAGATGTTCTGAGGTAATTAAATGAGTGGAGGTGTCTTCATGCTGGCATTGCTTTAAGTCTGAAAAAAAAAGGAGTACTAGTTGTTTCTGTGGTTTCTGAAAGGATTAGGGTTTTTTTGTTGTTATTGTTTTTTTTTTTTTGGTGAGGAAGATTGTCCCTGAGCTAACATCTGTGCCAATCTTCCCCCATTTTGTATATGGGATGCCACCTCAATATGGCTTGATGCACAGTGTGTAGGTCCGTGTCCCAGGGTTTCAGGCCCGTGAACCCTGGGCCGCCAAAGTGGAGCACATGAACTTAACCACTATACCACCAGGCCAGCCCCTGAAAGGATTAGTTTTTACCTGATGTTGTTTGCCTTGCATCTCTAGGTAGGAAGACAACCCATGAGCTTCCTCAACCCGAAAACTGTCTGTGCGGGATCTGATTCAGCCCCCACCTTCTGGACTCGGAACAGAGCCTGGGAGGTGATGATGCGCAGAGAGGGCTCAGGGTCACGTAGCAGATCTCTTAGATCTAAGTGGCAAGAAACCCCAGGTTGGAGGTGAAGATCTGTGGAAATGATCACTAGTCCAGACATCAGACAGCCAACATGCCTATAGAAGCTGGGATGAAGGGCTAACTTTTTTTCCAAGCCTCTGTCTGAAAGTTTGTACTTTTGCAGATCAATTCCAACTTTGACCTACAAAACTTACTTGTTGCCAAATATTTCACTCCTTTACAATAATCACACTGCCAAGTAGTCTATTTAAAGTCCAATGATCTGACCTGCCAAGCTATGTCTAATATCGTTAATTTCTAAGTTCCTCTCTTGGTCCTAGAGGTTACTCTTAAATCATTATTCCTTTTTAATTTTTCTCTTAAATTTTTAGTTTTTATGTTTTCTTATTGCAAAAGAAATATGTGTTCATTGTGTAGAAAATTTAGACAATATATGTAAGCACTAGAAGAAAATCAAAATCACCCATCATCCTACCACCAGAGAAAAGCACTGTTATTTTTCTGGTCTTCTTTCTATTCATTTATTTACACACGTGTGCTTTTATTTTTTTCCAAATGGAACTATATTATACATATTATCTAATTATTGCCTTTTTTATTTAATAATATTACATCATCATTTATCCAACTCATTTAAACATTTTTCTACAATATCTTTCATGGCTACATATGATTCTACAATATGGATATGCTATAATTTATTTCACTAACTTCCTATTGTTTCTCATCTTGGATGTTTCCCATTTTTGCTATTTGCTGAAATGAACATTCCTGTAACTATTTCTGCTTATTTTCATAGGTTAAATTCCTAGAAGCGGGATTGATAGGTCAAAGTATATGTTTATTTAAAGGGTTTTGATACATATTGCCAAACTTTCCTATAAAAAAGTCATATAATTTATGCTTTTCCCAGCCCAGTGGATGGTAATATCAGTTCTCCCTTAACACATCAATATTGAGTATTAATTAGTAATCTTTGCCATTTTGACAAAAAAACACATACTGGTATCTCATCAGTTTTTTGTTTCATAAACTTTTGATTACTAGTAATATTGAATATTTTTCACGTATTTATTGCCCATTTGTCTTCTATGAACTGCTTATTCATATTATTTGCCACTTTTCTTTTGAGAAAGTACTGATTTAAGGATATTAACCCTTTATCATACTGCAAATAATCCCCTCCATATGATTATTTTTCAGTTTTGTCACTTTCTCTTTTCTTTCAAAGTTGGTTTTTAAACTTTTTTTTTTTTT